ATTCATAATTTCCTTTAAAGAAATCTTCATGAAGACAAACAGCCAGTAGAAAAGCACATGAAGCTAGCAATATACAATAAAGTATATTGCACCTAGAGGGGTGCAATATACATAAAGTATGATCGTAAAAGCATACACAATAACTCTCAAAAACTAGGATGGATTATGATCGAAGGTAATAGGATATCTGGCGGGGATTTGTCCACAGCATTAAATGTGCACCTAGAGGGGTGCCAACTCTTCGATCATTGAACTTCGTGATTCGTGCACTTATCCAAGGAAAATGATTGATAGTTTCAATTAGGATTTTATACGACCAGAACAAAAGACAATACCCCCCCTCAACGCTGCCATCCTCGGTCTCGGTGTTGAAAGGAAGCTCCATGCTTTCGTCCAATACATTTTCCCAGGTCATCAATATAAGGAGGCTCTAATAAGAAAAGGAAAAAAAACAGCACACAAAGTTACGATCATAAATCTTGAATTCAGATGGAGGATAAACCCTAGCCCTAGTTGCTTTGAAAGCCCTAACCTTTGGATAGGGCGAGATCGTGAGAGTTCTGGCGGGAATCGCGGCCGCCCCACTGGTCCTCGATCTCCATTTGGGGAGCGGTCCATCGAGAGAGATCCCCTCGGCGAAGAGGTGGAGAGACTCGGGAGTTTTTGAGGAGAACCGTTAGAATTTGAAGAACTCATCTCTTTCCTTCACAATAGAAGGAAGAGAGGGCGGAGCTAGAATTAATAATGTTTGTTGAGCTAAAGACGATGAGCACCTGGATTTCCTTCTCCCTTGAAACGAGAGAAGAGACAACTTGGAAAATTTTGAATCATGAGTTTGATGTCTGCACTTACAGGAATGTTAGGGTGTGTTTGGATTTCAATGGGTTTAATAAGGGAAGTTTGGGAAACTATGTAAGAGAATGGAAGGAAAGGAAAAGGAGTACCCTTCGCTTTGGTTATACCCTAATTTGGGGTAACAAATTTTATACTATTAAGGGTTGAACCAATGGGAACTATGATGAATAACTTCACCTCCTAATAAATGTTCCCAAATAAGGTAAATGGTTCCCCTAACTTCTATTCTTCCTTATTCCTCTCAATCCAAACAAACTCTAAGGGCCTGTTTGGATTCGTAGGGGGTGAAGAAAAGTTAAGGGAAACTGAGTGAAGGGAAGGGAAGGGAAAGGAAGGGAAGGGAAGGGAATTCCCTTCCCCTTGGTTACACCCCAATTTGGGGGGTAACAATTTTTATACTATTAGGGGGTGAACCAAGGTGAATGGAGGTGAATTAACTTCACCTCCTAAGTGTTCCCAAACAAGGTGAATGGAGGTGAATGGTTCCCCTAACTTCCCTTCACCCTCATTCCCCTCAATCCAAACAAGCCCTAAGAGAACATATAATAAGTTAAGTTAAAAGGAAAGTAAGGGGAATATCATCTTATATGTTATTGAGGAATATGTTTCATCCCGTTTACAAAGTCTAATAAAGTAAGGGTTGTTTTCGTCAAAAGTTGGTTTTGCTGTGGAATTCATTATATCTTCGGTCGATTACAATAAATTCAAAAAAAAAGCGATAGCCTTTTTATAAGACTCCTTTTACACAACAAAATGAAAATTACAACTCTTGGGAAACAAACGTAGGATCGTTGTTTGGATCACTGCTTGCGTGGGATCTTTGCCTGTGCCGGGGGTGCGTTAGCCCGTGGACCACCAAATCACAGATTCTGATTGAATCGTGAGGGGTTTATGATTCTGACTTCGTTTATCGAAGTGAGAACTTGAAACGATATCTTATCGAAGTAAGATAGTCGTTCTTCTTGAAATCAAGTCAAAGCCTGAATATCAAGGAGTGGCCGTAAGCTCAAGAACTCTGCTCTCTCTGCTCTGGATTGCTCTGAAGTGCTCAAAATGATCAGCCTCTCTAGCCCCTTCTTCAAAATGGCATTCAGGGGGTATTTATAGCCCATAGGAACACTTGGCGGAAAACAGTCTCGCGAGACAGCATTTGCTGTCTCGGCCGTCGAGACAGTGTTTGCTGTCTCGGCGGGCGAGACAGTGTTTGCTGTCTCGGCCCGCGAGATAGTAAATGCTGTCTCGGAAACAGTAACCGTCAGGCAGTTTTCGTTTTAACTGTCTTCCCACGTTTCGCGAGACAGTAAAGACTGTCTCGCGTGGGCGAGACAGTAAAAGTCTGTCTCGCCAGCGAGACAGTAAAGACTGTCTCGCGTGGGCGAGACAGTAAAAGTCTGTCTCGCCAGCGAGACAGTCAAGCCTGTCTCGCGTGCGAGACAGCCCATACTTGTGTTCTTCTGCCTTTTTAAGCTGTATTCGGATATCTCTCAGCATTTTTTGACGCCTACAAGGGTGTGTTTGGATTTTAATGGGTTAGGGAAGTTAAGGAAAACTAAGTGAGAGAAGGGAAGGGAGTTTCCTTCCTCTTGGTTACACCCTAATTTGGAGGGTAACAAATTTTATACTATTAAGAGGTGAACCAAGGGGAACTAGGGTGAATAACTTCACCTCCTAAATGTTCTCAAACAAGGTGAATGGTTCCCCTAACTTCTCTTCTCCCTTATTCCTCTCAATCCAAACAAGCCGTAAAGGAAATGTAAGAAAATATATATTGCTTTATGTAGAGGTTAAGTAATCAAACGGTCAAATATATGGGGTGAGATTGATTAGGGGGTCGTTCACATTTCTGAATATCTGCTCTTGAGTTTAGTAGCTTCAGCATGCATAAATAGAAATTCGTAAGAGGACGGGGCTTAGTTCCATCGTTGTACCTCCAATGATCAAGTCAGCTAATGAACTTGAGTGGAAAAATGAAGAACTGTGTGGGTTCTTCTGTGTAGTGCAGTATAATTAGCATGTATTGCTTGGAAAAATAGCATGGAAATGGCTTAGAAATTGCTAGGAAAAAGAATCTTTTCCGAAAAAAGATCTTCTTTCTATTGAGAACAGTACCTCTATTTACAGTGGTGCTGAAAGGGTAGAACCGCCATTTTGGCCGAGCACAGAATGGTGGTAAATAAGCATGGGCTAGCGGCTACGTCAGCACCTACTTTACACATGTCGGTTTGCGAGTGGAGTAGAGATTGCCTCAGCATTAAATGAGAAGTGATTGGAGGCATGGCGGTGCTGACGTGGTCCGATGAGTCATGAAAACTATCGGGGCTAGAGGTATGATGCGTCTGTCAAGCATTTAATGCGACGCCGACGTGTTGTCAGCGAGAGAGGCTCGAGGCTGAAGTCGTCATTTAGCTTAGTCAAGAAGTAACACCTTTCGAGTCGACCTTGCGAGATGTCGAATAACTGGTTGAGTAGGTTCGTAGCGAGTCGTCTTCGACAAGAGGGCCGAAAAGTACCACCCTTCAAGTCGGCCTAAAGAGACGTCGACTCGGCAAGTCGGCTAAGTTGTGATCATTAGTTGCCCTGATCGTCAATCTGGTTTGAGCGGTGCATGTAGGGGGACACTTGTCCGTTGCTGGCAAAGGGCCATACTTTGACGACTGAAAACACCATAGCACTTTACATAAATATCTTATATGTTATTTTACCCTTTTGAATGTCATCTTGGTAAAAATTGTATTTGTGTAATATTCCTTTATTTTAAGAGTTACCCCCCTCCCCTCTATTACACCCCAATTTGGGGGAGAATGAAATCTAAGTTTTCTCCCCTCCATTACCTTAATTTCCCTCTTATTAACTAATTCAAATGACTTTCCGAATAAGAGTAATGTATCTCCTACCTTCCCTTTACTCACATTACCCTTGATCTAAACAAGCCCTAAGGGAAGAGAAAGAAAGAAAATGGAGTTTACTTCCCCTTTGTTACATCTCAATTTGGGGTAACAAATTTTATGTTATTAGAGTTTGAACTAAGAAGAACTAGGGTGAATAACTTCACCTCTTAAATGTTTGTAAACAAAATGAATGGTTCCCTTAACTTTCCTTCTCTCTTATTCTCCACAATCCAAATAAGTCCTTGAGGAACGAGAAAGAAAGAGGAATGGGTTCAGCGAGAGCAATTGTAGGGTTTATGCTGAAGGGGTGGGGGCGTTGGTGAATGGAGACGATAGAAAGGTAATTGTCTCATTAGCATAGGAGTAGGGTTATGACTTATGAGAAGGGGTATTTTTGCATATACTTTGGGTTGACCCAGTTGCATACTCTCTTTCAAATGTTTCACGTTGATACTCTTTCAATAATTCTCATGCGACACTCAACGTGATAATATTTATAGAGTAATGTGATCCTTATTTTCTTAAATTTATTGTTATATCAAAATTACATTTTAAGATAGAATTATAATGAACTAAAAATATGATTTTGATAGATTTAACAAAGGATTAAACAAAAAGTAAGGTGTAAATGTTCTATAACTTTTTGAGTATTGCATGAGAATTTTCATGAGGGAATGCTCATGTTTACATAACTGAGAATATCAACATAAAACATCTAGAAACTTTAGGACAATTTAGTGTAGAGTTTTACAAGTGAGAATATTTACGTACAACATTGAGTAAACGATAGAGTATTTAAGCATAATTAAATTTTTGAGTGCTAAAAATAAAGCCTGATTTATTTAGGGAAATGGCTTATTTCACTTAAATGCACTACGGCTTCACCTATTTTGCTATACATATCCGTAGTTATATTTGGCTGCACTTAGATACCCTAAACTTTCTAAAAACTACACTTTAGTATGCTTGGTTATACCAATGTGAGAATTTCTCCTCGCATTCGCATGCTACTTTTTGAACATCTAAATTTTTACTATTTGTTAAATTTATTATCAAACCTATTAAAATTCTATTTAAAATGAAATTAGGATCGGTTTAACTTAGAATTTGATATGTTTAACAGTAGGCATAACCCAAAAAAAAAGAATTAAATATGTTCTAAATTAGCATACCACTGTCATGTGAGAATTTTCATAGAGAAGTTCTCACATTTGCTTAAATTTTAACATCACAAAAAAACAGTTTGTACCATTGGCCACGCGTGCAGATTTCTATCGCGCGAAATATCGGTAACAATAAGCGCACACTCTCATCTCTCCACTCACAATTTACCCTCTCCAATCTCCTCCATCACAAACGACAAATGGCCGCCGCCGCCGCCGCCGGAGTTCACCTTAACCACATCGCTCGCGAGACCGCAGATGTGAAGCGCCTCGCTTCCTTTTACGAAGAGGTCCCTCTCTATCCTCAAATTTGCAATCACACCCTCCAATTCTCTCTAATTCTCACCCCCCCCCCCCTCTTTTTTTGTAGATTCTAGGGTTTGAGAGGATTGAGACGCCTAAATTCGGCGACTTTGAGGTTATTTGGCTCAAGCTCCCGCCTTTTGCCCTCCATCTGATCGAGCGGGACCCACGGTCGAAGCTTCCAGAGAGCCCGTACAGCGCGCCTCAGCCGGTGGGGGATATTGATCCTAAGGCGATCTCGAGGGGTCATCACCTCTCTTTTGGCGTTTCCAATTATGAATATTTCGTCAAAACCCTGAAGGTGGTTTTTTTAATTAATTTTTTAGATGATGGTGATCGTGATTTGTATGACATCAAGTTATTTTGGGGGGAAATTTCAGGAGAAAGGGATTAATACGTTTGAGAAGACGCAGCCTGATGGAAAAACGAAGCAAGTGTTCTTCTTTGATCCAGATGGTGAGTTGTATTCAGCTATGCACCAAAAAGTTTCGTTCTTAAGATTTTTGTGTGTGCCGTTGATTGTTTATATTTTAATAGTTCTCATTTATTTTTCTGTATAAAAGTTTTTTGTGAAAAAATAATCATGGTATATTTAGGAAGCACGCTTCATTTAGTTTTTACACGATTGACAGGGACAGGATTATGTTTTTGTGGCAGTTTATTATTTTCTCAATTAGATGCATTGTACTAAGATGGAACTTGCTTACTTGAAAATAGTAGTTCATAGGTGTAAAATTAGATTGAGGGGTCAGCTTGGATGTAATATTACAAATTATGACATCTTCTCTCTGCATGAAGATTAATGTATTAAGAATAGGTAATAAAATCAAACGATATCGATAGAGTTAGTGTACACACCCAAGCCTTAAGAAATTGGTCTCTATGTCCAGTAGAAAATTGATCTCTATTATTATTACTACTATTTTTGGATGATTAGATTGGAAAGCTAGAAAGGTGGGGTAGAAGATATGGAAATCGAAGAGACGGGCAATATTTGGATTACATTGGGATGAGATGGTTACTTTCATGGAAAGCACAACTAAAAAAATTAATGGATACCTACCAACATAATTGTAAAATTAAAAATTTAAAGCCAATCTTTTGAATTAGACTTCTTATGCTTAAATTATAAAACTCTAGGATTCAAACTTTGAAGACTTTCAATTAAACTGATCATTTGCAGCGGTTGGGGAGTAAGAACTGATAATCGCTGGATTTTCCTGATGCACTTCGTCACATTAGAATTCAACCTCATCCGGCAGTTATTGACATGTTGGAGAGGGTACTAGTGGAGATCAGTATTATAAGGACTGATTAATAGTTGAGGAGACAAAAAGTTGATTCAGTTTTACTCCAATGCTAAAGCACATCACGTTGTAGCATAGTAGGTGATTTTTTTAGTACAAAGAATGCAAATAGATCATGTTCAGTCTTTAGTGGGGATAGGCAGAAGAAAGGCGTAGAGTTGGGGGAAAGTGGATTTTGTTTTCTTTTTCAACCATTAAATTGACACTGTTGACAAACATTGGAAAAAAAAAGGCATGGTCATGACGACGACAACAACAACAAAAAGCAAATATGTAAAAATTAAAAATGATATGATTGGAAGATGTTCATTCCAATGGTACTACATCTTACAAATGGACTTGTTTTACCATAGCATACTGAACAAAACTATGATATGGATCTCTAAATTTAAATATCCACATCATTTGTCTTGGACAAAATAGTTGTATCCTTCTATTGCTGCTTGGTTCGATTTACAATATATTGTAGGCCATAGAAACCAACTTGCTAATAATATCTCCCATTTCTCACATGATGCACATGAAATAAATCTCAAAAAGATTTGTTTTTCTTTTATAGTTGTTTTAGATGAGTTGGATTTTGGATCGCATTCGATGATCTTCTACTTGGGTTGCAAGGTATGTTTTCCCAAATTATAGGATCAAAGAACAAATCATAGCGGGAGGATGACTTAGCAGAAGTTGATCTATATAGCATGGAAAGTGCCTTGAAACCAGAAAATATATACTAGAGTTTCTTACTCGTGCTGGCTCAAGGTCCGATATAGATGTTAAGGTATCCACATGTTATCTTGCTTTTGTCGATGTAGATATACGTTTGAGACACATACAGGAACATGTGTGTCCATGCAATATAACTAAGAGCAGGCTTTTTTCGAATCGGTGGTCATTTAAGATTACTTATCACAAAGATAAAGGACGGAAAAACTATGTTAATTGAACTGATTGGATACCTTGAAGTTCAATTTGTTTAACCCTTTAAAAATATGCAGAGTTAGCCAACTGATCTGAAGAGTTTTCATGGTCTCTTGCATATAATCTAACCTGTGACCGGTGCATCTTAAAAGACACACTAAAAGAAACCAAGTTAAATGCATGAAATCATCATATTGCAGACTCCTCACTTCATTATTTTTGCTCGTGCGTGGTCATCCTGCTGTGTAGTGCACATAGATGAATTTAACATTCCTCTTCTCTTTTCATACTTAACTCTTTTTATATTTAGACTTGACATAATTTTTGTTAATTCTGTTTAGGTAATGGCTTGGAAGTTGGGAGCTGGGGAGCACCATAGTTCTCAAGAGAGCAACAGCTGGGCAAAGAAGAGTGATTATAAATGGGTGGGGTGGGGGGTCATTCTCCATTGCGTCTGCTGTGAACTCTTTTAGTGTAAATCTTGTATAAACGAAGAATATATTGGTTTCTTTGCTTCTAATATTCTGCAACTTTGGTTGCTTCCTTGCATCTTTGTCCTTTCAGTTTATGTACACAAGTCAAATCTACACTGTAAAGTTTGCACGGTCAAACGAACTGTATTTGGTATCTAAGAACGTTGTTTGTTGGTATGATTTAGTTCAATAGGAAGTGCAGAAATGCCTTCCATTTTTTTGCTTTTTAATCCCCCCTCCCCTCTCTTCAAGCCACCAAATCTTATTTCTCAAATACTATGAAAGTGCATACCATCAGCAATTTTCCAGGTGACATGTATTCTTCACATTCAAAGGAACTTCTTGTGGCTACAAAAATATCTCAACTATTAAGAGCGAAAAGAAAAACACACGTCCCATCTCGCAAAGCAAGTGCAGAATGCTAGTATTGCCCATCAGTTTGCTGCGTTATCAAAGATATGCCTGCAAAAGCCTCGCCTTTCCGACTGTTGTATGCAAATATGTGTCAATCCGTGTAGTAAAAGTCTTGGATCTCTGATGACCCAAACCCATACTTTAATGCCGAGCCAAGAATCCATCGCGTAGACTGCTCTACAATACATAGAAGGAGCTTGAGGCATCATACAACGTATTTCCAATATCTGGATGCTATTTTGATGTCTCATGCATTCCTGTGTGAAACGTATTCGTATGTATGTGTTCGCCAGCGTTACCTCTCGAGTTCGTAAAGTGCAAGAACCCTGTATGCGCATCTTGTTTCATAATGTGCATGCACATCTACAAATATTAGGACCACAATGACCGTTTCAGTCTGTAGGCTTCATTATCAAAAAAAAAAAAAAAAACCCCAGCATTCTTCCACTTAAGACATGATACTATAATTGCAACAAGCTCCCAAACAGTTTTAAGCCCAAAAGGAATATCAAGAAAAAGTAAATGAACAGGCCTTGCTTTCAGCCAATACCATTTGACAATTCTACTATCCTGATTCTAATGGTGCCATTGACACCACCGGATACTACGTAGCTCCACGGCTCACGCAAACTCATGTCTACAACAATTGGTCTGTGGAAAATGCAACAATTTCAACCAGAAAAACTAGCTGAGTGACAACCGACAAGCACGTGCATTTAAAAAAGATCAGATTGGATGACATCCGTATACGAGAGCGGTGAAACCCGCACACATCAACATCGCAAGCACATGGTATGGGCACGGAAAACCAATACAGAGCCTACCGACAGACGCCCACGCGGCCTCATGGAACAAGATTCAAAAGCATCGCAAAGAAAGTCACGCTGGACCGCGCAGGAAACAAATTTCAGCCTGTGACAATACCAGCTATGGGTGGGGGTGGGGGGGCAAAGCAAACACTTCAATGATGCCACTAACAAAAAGTGGACCCCACAAAAGTGCTGAAGGGGACAACCACAAGGTGAGGTGTCTCAGCCCCCTAACACCCCAAACTAACACCAACAGCTGTACTACTAACAAGAAAAGAGAACTATTAACACAAGAGCATCCCTCAGTAGCAGCACACCACCCCATACTGTGGGTAGCATGATTATACGCACTGGGCTACATCAAAGTGAAACCTGCACAGCATGTGAAAATGTTCCATAAAACAAAGTATGGTCTGCCAATAAATAAAAATAAAAAGCAGCACTAACTTGAGAATCTCAAAAAAGGATCACCCCAAAGGCACAAGGAGGATATTGTTTAATTAGCTGTACATAAGTAATTTTTAAAGTAAAGCTGGATTTTGATTACATCATGCAAGAGTTCAACATCTCTATTTTATCCCGGAGGCTCAGCAGCAGATTAAACAACATCCCATAGAAATTTACAAGCGCAAGGGAAAGAAGGATACGTGAACTAGATTAAAGCAAACTAATAAGCACACACATAGTCCTAAGTTTTGTAGTCAGTCACTACAAAATAGGTATTAAACCGATTATAAGTTCATTAGACGTCACCGCTGACCCCAGTCGCAGAAATTTCTACCGATAATAAGCCTGCTGGTATCCAGGTGCCAAGCCATTACCATAAGCTCCATAATGGGGATAAGTCATAGGGGGAGATGAGTAGGCTACACCAATAGCAGGAGGGGCAACTTCTTCAGTCGGATATGCATAAGGATCTCTAATAGCCGGTGGGCTTCGATTCCCATAAACACCGTGCGCAACTGGCCTGTCATAGGGATAAGGATGGACAGGAGCTGAGTATGTGGTGTGAGTTGGTGATCGTATAAACGTAGGAGCAGCTGGAAACGAAGAAACATAGGCGTTATTTATCAGACGTCCAGCCTTAGCAGGAGGCATTGGGCCAACATTGTTGCCTCGGGTTCTCTTGTTGGCTGGAGCATTGACAGGACTATTGCCACCAGCTGGCTTTTTCTTCTCGGCCTTGGCCTTCTCTATATTCTCGAGTCGCTTCTGGAGAGGCTCTACAGGAAATTCAGCTTCAAGTTTGCGATCCTCAATGCATTTGATAACAGCCCTAAGGGCTGACTGTTGCTTACGGCTTGGGTTGCTCTGTGATAAAAGCAGGTGTTAGAAAACTATAGGTACAGATTACCTGTAATAAATACTAAACCAAACATGAAGTCCAGTCACACAGTTTTTGACTGCTGAAAATAATATAACATATCATTACTTGGCAAGATTGATAATTTGACAAATTGCTAAGATGTACCCATCATTGAGCAATCTATTTTGAACAGATTTACACAGCAAATGACTTACTGTGGCTTGGCCAGAGTTGTTCCTGTCCTCAGAAACTGGAGTCGATGCCTTCTTTGACTCTTTCAGAAAAGATTTCAACAGGGGAACAGGGGGGAACTTGTCCTGAAGACCAGCTTCATAGACAAAATTAATAGCATCAAGCTGATGTCCCTTGCTAATTAGTTCTTGAATCATATCTGCAAACCAAAGGAAGGGTAAGCGTCTCATCAGATTATCTTGAGGCAGTGCATCTAAACAATTACAACATTGCTTAATCAATCAAGAATGGGAAGGACACTGATCTTTCAGAGCCAGCCTCTGTCCTGGCATACACCTATTTGCAAGCAAGAAGATTCAAGCAATAATGCAAAATCATAGAAAACATAAAGGATGTCAGGGTGGAAATCCATATAATGGACCCCAAATCCTCGCTAGAAGTGACCAAAGCAAATAGCAATTTAAAAGAAAGCATATCAAAATACACAAACATTTCAACAGCAGCAGGACAAAGAACTCACACAAGAAATTTAACATCGGTTTCATGAATTAGTGCAATAATGATGTTTAAACATTTTGATTAACCATATAATCTACCAATCTGCATCCTATCTTGGATGGCAGAGGTAGGCATGTTGGTCATAGAAATGGTTATCAAGTATGGTGAAGTGTAACATTCACTACCAAATTAGTGTGAAACTCTCAAGAAAGTTCAACAAAAACACACTGCACATAGCAACAACGAGACCTTACCGCAAGCTCACCTGCCTAAAAGTCTAAAAGGCTGCAGAACTCTCATGAACCAAGTGATGCATGAATTTACATATACAGTAGAAAAAAGTTATTTATGATGTATTTACCATTCATCAGTTTCATTTAATAGAATTGATTTTTATGAATTCCGCAGTCTCTTTTAGTTCAGTTTTTGAGAAGAAACAAAAGTTCAGCTTTTAAATCAGATCTTCAAAACTAAATAAATCTGAACGATCTTCGTTTGAAATTGAGTCACAATCCAATGTATTTGAAATTTGTTCTCTTTTTAGAAATCAAATCATTGACTGAATCAGTGGTTGTGAAGAATTCTCTCAAACTGAAGAGTGAATTGGCACTATAAACACATCTCATTATGTCAATGGGCGTGTGAGTGAGCAAAGTGAAAATTGTATACTGTACTTTGCCTACTTTCAACTAAGCCCAGAGCAATATCACTTAAAATATGTCAGCTTATATTTTCGGCAAGGATTTTAAAAGGCATCTCAGAGTCACCCATCTCATCTCGCAGTGAACCCTGTTCTCACATTAAACCACTACATCACAAATTTCTCAAGGATTTCAAATCAATCATGATCAATTTATCATAAATCTCTTAATGAGAAAATTTGTGCTGCTAAACCAATACTATTGTATTTTATTTTTTACCAGTACTACTACTTCTACTACTACTAGACATCATATGCAGTTTAGCATGAAAAAACAGAACAAGTAAAACATCCCAGAAAAGAGGATTGAACTTTTATACCAGCAATTTGATCCTCAAGCCCCAAAGAAATCGCAAGCTTGGGCATCTGCCTTCTCCAAGCAAAGCTCATAATAAGCCTCCTATAGAACCCCTTATCCTCCTTCGCCCCAACACCAAACGTCGCCAAATGCTGCAAGAACGCATGAACATCCGTGGGCTTTGCGCTCTCAACACCTCCAAACCCTTGTTTCCACTCATCAGCCATTTCCTTCGCCTTCTCCTTCACAATCCTCGTCACCATCAGCCTCTTCGTCCCCAACCCCGGATCCGCCAAAGCCGACACCAAAGCCTCCAATATCAGCACACAAGCCCACCCCAAATCCGCCGGCGACTTCACCGCCCTCCTATCCACCGGAAAAACCCCGGCAATCGCGTCCAGAACAAACCTCGCCGGGTCAATACAGCTCTCAAAAGCCAAAGGAAGCTCATTTCTCAGCGTCTCAACCTCCTTCCTCTTAGAAATCACAAGGTTCAAGAAACCCTCAGAATCCATTTTCGCACAAAGAGACCGGACCTTCGAAACGAGATCGTCATCCTCAACAGCCTCAGCAGCGAGAGCAATAACTGCAGCTTTGTGATGCTCTTCAACCTTAGAGATGGCGAGGTCGACCGAGTGGTCGATCGACTTCTCGCGCTGGTAGAGAGAGTCTAGGGTTTGCTGAGTGGAGAGATCGAGGGTCTGGCGCTTGGATCGGAGGTTTTGGGACTTGATCTCGAGGTCTTTCTCGAGGGAGGAGAAGTGATCGGAGAGCTCTTTCCACAGTAGAGTGCAGTTGGCGATGAGCTCTCTCTGCTTCTCGAGCTCGTTGAAGCTCTCTTGGATCATGGAGTTCGTAATGGAGGCCGCCGCCGCGGACCCCATCGTTGTTTGATTTTGATGAAGGAAGAGGGGTAGAGGAGGAAACCCTAACCCTAACCCGAGAAAGGGAAAGGAAAGAGGAAGGGGGGGAGGAGAGAAAAGTAGCCAGAGGGAAAAGAGTGGAGGGAATGTACGGGCAGGTGGTGGACGAATAGCAGTTTGACACGCGGAGGATGTTCACTGTAAAGGGCAAAAGGGTGGTGGGTGTAATCAGATTAAATTTGATTAGATAATTTGAAGGATAATGAAGAGGATCAGGTTGTTTTACATTCGGTAATAAATAAAGTTCGATTGGATAATGAAGTTCACGATGTTGGGCTTTTCGGCCCTTTGATCGATAAGGGCCCAGTTTGTAAACGAGGAAGTAGGCGCCGGCCATTGTTTCGTTTTAACGGAGCCGTAAAATTGCTACGGATTTTCTTTTGTTGAAAGTGGAAGATTAAAAGTCGGCAATCGGAAGTTTTATTTCGTCTAAAAATAGCCGGCACCTCACTCACTCTGAGCTTACGTGCCCTCACTCGTTTTTCCATAGCATTTATATACAGTTTTTCATAGCATTTATATATGCTAAGTGTTTTAAATTTTACATGTCTATACATCAATATTTTCATCCAAATATTTCTCTATGTTAAACTTATATAAGATAATTGTAGAGCTTTCTGAACATTGATATTTGTTAAATTTATCATTAAAAATCTATCCTAACTCTAATTGAAAGCGAATTTAAGATAAGTTAAAAGTAAAATTTTGATAAGTTTAATAGTAAATTTAACTAATATCAATACTTAGAAAAAGCTCATTGATTATAGCCTGGAAGTATCATATAGGAAAATTTATGAAAATTTTAATATTTGCATGATTAAGAGTACCGTGCCAATTTTAAACTACTTTGGGTATATATAAGTATTACGGAAAAAAAAAAGTGAGGATATAAAAGTGCAAAACCAGTGAAAGTATGAGGCATTTAAGTGCTGTTTAGCCTATTATTTTAGCATTCCTATCTCCACCGATCAGCTCGAAGTCACAATATTGTGTTTAGGGGAAGGGAGTTTCATGCTAATCGATTACTTAAATCACATACTCTATATGTCTTTGAATGAAGACTGTAATCCAATTGTGAAACTGGATCTTTCATAAACTAACCTTCTTTCATCACTGACTACCAAAATTACACTCATCTCCATGCCAATCCATGAACTTAAGGACAAGGAATTTAGAATTAAATCACTTGAGAATACGAAAGTCTCAGAAAACCCAACTTAGCAATAAAGCAGTTATATCGGTACTTTTTCCAGACATGAAGCACACCCATAGCGTTCATAGTAACGAGCAAAGTGTACAGAACAAACAATCTGACCAATGTCCATGGTCTCTATTCTTATGGCCCTGAAACTTGGGAGAACACTCAAAAACAATCCTTGATTGCTAGATGTTACAATGCTAAAAAAAATTAAGGTTTTTTTTTATATATATTATTAGGATATAGAGGGAAGACTAAATAGATCTAATACATTGGTAGCCATCATCTCGGCTATCGAACAAGTTGGCAAACCAATCACTCGTCATTTCACCCCCTTTGTCCCAACAATACAAAATTTTAAAAAAAAATATTCAATGTAATTTAAGCTTTCGAGTATTGTCAAGCACGCAGACACCGTCCCAAATTATACAGTAAGTATCTACATTAACTTAAACCCCGATTATTACCTTCAGTCACAAAATACCGGTCCATTAAAGCTTGAAGGCCAAGACGGTTGACAATCCTTCCCAAAAAGAGAAATTGCGGCTTCAAAATGATCTCACCAATCACCAAACCTGCAAGAGATGATGATAATAGTTGATTGAATCAGCAACCAAAATAAAAATAAGGGTTAGCTGCACGTAGAACCCATATAATGATTTTGTTTTGATCTTAGTGCACCTGTAGTTTCATCGTTGCAGATAAATTCCTTGGGTTTTTGGCTACTTTACCCTAGGTGGAATTTTGGAAGATATTGTCCATGGATGAAATTAGCGAGTCTATCTAAGGGTAAAGGACAGGGTAAAAGGTTAACAGGGGTGGGTGGGGTCTTTTCCCTTTTTTTTTTTTTTTTTTTTGGGGGTTTTTTTTTTTTTTTGGTGGGGGTGGGGGATAAAATATCTATTTGAATACCGTCTGTTAACCAAATTTTGGGAAAATTTTGATTTTGATAATTAACGCCATTATAGGTACATTTAACATGCATTTCTTTATTCTATTACATCAAATCCTCATACCACTAGGGGAATTGCAATAATAACATACGACCGATATTTTTAGCTATTATCAATAAGGGTAATATAACATATTTTCAAAGAAAAGATTTGAGGTACTAACGTTAAACTTTATTAATTTTGTTTATTAGCAAACCAATAGCTAGAAAGTAAAAAAAAAAAATCTCTCTTTAGGAATTATGAATTTGTGTAAATGATTTTCCTGGTGTGTTATGGAAATTGTTGACACAAGAACAAAAAAATTCTCTATGGTGAACCAAAATATCTCTCATTTCTAACTTGAATAGATTTTTCTTTTTAATTTCCAAATGAATCTTTTTGTCTTGTCTTGAACGTTGCACTAATTTTTTGAATCCAGTACCAACAAGGATAATTCCCCCAGAACAACATTTTCTTTCAGATCCTTCAACCAATCAATACGACGTCGTAGTTTTTTGCTAAAACTCTAACAGTTTCTTGAAAACTTGCTTCGGATATGAAACTTTTGAGTATTCAGAGATGCCCTCATTATTCCCAATAAAATTGCCCGATAACAGATTGCTTCGTCTAAAGCACACCCCGCTCGTTCCGCTCGGCGCTCACAACAATCCAATTAATTCTTCAGGTAAAGAAACATTAGACATTCCATCTTCGGAAATCAACACTTTTGATGTTACGTGTCGTACAATAATCTCTATATGTTTATTATGGATCTGGACCCCCGGAATCGATAAACATTTTGGATCTTAGTAACCAAAGAGATATGACTTCGGGCTATGGTTAGCTCGGCACCAATTAAGAATCCCCAAGAAATTCCAAGAATTATTAGTATACGTTCGTTCCAACCTTCAACTCTCCTTTCATGGTTCATCAATATTGAACCGATTGAAAACACTTCTAAGATTTGTTTTACTTTTGGAAGACCTTGTGTTATGTCACCAAATCAGGATTTTTTATATATAAATATAACTAATGTATCTCTTTCAGAAAGGGTTTGTCCATAATGTCCATGAACAAGCGCTCCTGGAGTGGCCAAATAGAGCTTAGCTGACCTTATAATTAAGGAGTCAAAATGAACAATTAAAATTTGGCCAGATTTTTTATGTGTGGTCCATATTTAACTAGACATGCATTTTTGCAAAGAAATTGTCTAATGCTAATTATCGTCAATGTCTCTTCACAATAATTGTGATGTAGAAAGCATCAATTTAAATGGAATGGATTCAAAATGATATTATTGCACGGACAGAGATTTAAAATTCTCCTATTTTCATCTATTAAATCATATTTAAGTACTTCCAATACTTGGAAAGTCTGTTTAAAATTGTCAAATAGCCAATATTTGTTTAATAAGATCTAATTATGAGTAATTAAATGGTAAGATGAATAAAAATTCATTATTTTTAGCTATAACAGTACCTAAAGGGCCCAACAAATCCGTAATTGGAGTTATGGGATTCGATTCCTTAGCCACATTGTTGTATTTCGAACCACTGCATGGACCAACTCGAAAATAATTGAATGATGACAAAATTCTCAAAGACTAGCACTCCTTATTTCGATTCCATAACATATCAATAGTTCCTTGATGTTGTGTAACTAATGGAATCCTCGTTTTGGAATAAAAAGGATTGATATTGGTGCGACCTAATCCATTAGTTGGAATCAATCCCGAACCTGCCGTATGGTACCTTTTTCCAATATATAAAATAGTACACTTTGACTCACTCTATTCTGATGAAATCGCGAATCAGATCATTTGCCCTTACCTGAACAAAGGAAGCATAAGCATCTTCTATAGAATCCTTTTCTTCATGGTCCCAATTCAAGACTAAGCAAGTCCAAACTAATTGAATATTTGTGTGATAAATTCCTCAAATTGACTTTCCATTTTCATAAAGGATATAATTGACAACTCTAAGTTGGACATTATCTTCTTCTGGCAAGAGATTATGCGGGAAAAGTTCTGCTAAATTTATCCCATCAGCTATTTCATGTGACTACGTGCTGAACCAAAACAAAATACATTTTTTTGTATGTGTGATCCATTGGACATAGATCCAATTTTTCCATTTTTTTATTCCTTTGAATTTTTTTCCTTTTTCCATTCCTGCCCTGGTGGTATCAAAATATTGTTGTGTCTGGATATCTTATCCGTCTCTCCAGGAAAATGAATATCTCCAAAAAAGATTTTAAGTTCAATGTTTTTTTCCTATCGGGGAATCAATGACTGGATCTTTGATGCACTGCTAGTACGTCATCTGACAATTTTTAATTGGCTAGTTGTAAATAGCCCCGGGCTATTTACAAGGGATTACCCAGGATCTACGCCGAGGTATTGACGATTTTTCTCAAATATCATAGAATAGAATGTGATACGATGAGATAGAATGCTAGAAACAAAGACAAGGAAGAGGTTACCTACCCCTAATAGTGAAAGGAAAGATTTCGGATTGGGGAGAGTTCAAAGAAAAAGAAGGATTTTTTGACTCGCCTTTTCATTTTTCCCTCATAAAAAAACTAAACCAAAATTAAAATTTCTAATTTACAAGAAAACCATATGAAGTTAAAAACAACAACACTACTGGGGGTCTATGTGCAATTTAACAATAAAATTATCCAATGGGTAAAATAAGTAATTTATGTTCATTTTCACATGGGCTTTTTCTCTACATAAAACTTGGGAAAGAAAGAGAAAGCATACCTCTGTGAACATCAATCTACGGATCAAATTTCCCTTCTACTCCTGATGGCGGCTTTCTTCCTCGTGTCAATATCAACCTTATCAAGATCAGCAGCAGTCGCAAGGTACCCATAAAAGATGTTCTTCTTCTCATCCGTCTTCTTGTCATCACTATCATTATGTGAAGTTTCCATTTGGGTCCAATCTTTGCGCCCGCGATTGTTCTTCTTGAAGTATTCTGCAAGGCATTCTGCCTCCTCCAAACCAGCTGGGCTGCTTGCAAATTTAACTGCTGCAATACCCAAGTGACCCTTTTTCCCATATAATGACTTAGATTTGCCACCAGCAAAGCCGAGTTCTAGAGAAGGAAAAGGGGAAATTACTTGGTTCAGTTACTAAATGCCTAGGCACAAGTAGCCAAAGTATGATTTAAAAAGTTCATAAATAAATGCGCTATCCATAAATAAATTTATGAGCTCAGTTCTACAATTGACAAGGATTAAGTAGGGTTCAATACTGGAGATTCAAGCAACTAAATTTATGAGGTAACAACATAGCAGAATTATTAAATACCTTATCCTCTACTTCACTGGCCAACTGACCAATGTATTGGCTCAGAGAAATGAGGACCCTTTATCAATTATATTTATATCACTATGTCATCTATACACTCTGTCCTGGTCAGGAAAAACTTGGATTCAGATTTCTTGGTTGCAAGAGTTTAAGCCACATGACCAAATATAGAATATACAGCTCACTTGCTATCAAAATCCTAGATATAGCCCTATCTTTCTTACCATTATGTAGCTAGAAATTTGCTACCAACTCATAGTGTAGGTTGAAGTCAGGACAGCTATTCATAAGAAACTGGTCTTACATAGAATTTATTTGGCAAGGTTTGATGGTGCTAACAATGATTCTAAACCATACATTGCAAAATATCGCTACATAACCAACAAAGTCTTACATCTCAGTAAATCATTTGCCTTCATTCAGTTCCTGTTTAGAGCTATCATTTCAGTTGAGTTAACCACTATAAATTTTGAAAAATCTTGCTCCTAGCGTACAATGGTTCAAATTACAAGCATTTAACTTCTACATCATATTCCGCAAAGCAGTTATGATTTGCAACCTTCAGACATTATAAATAATAGGGAATGAAGACGGAAGTATACAGACCCCCTATTATGGACAATATCTCCAAGGTGGTGAACTATAAGATTTTTTTTTTTGTTGTTGTCTAAACGCTTTTGATGTTACATAAAGCATCCTATAAGATTTTTTTTTTGTTGTTGTCTAAACGCTTTTGATGTTACATAAAGCATCCTATAAGATTTTTTTTTGTTGTTGTCTAAACGCTTTTGATGTTACATAAAGCATATGTGATAGAGCAGATTATAAATTTAAGAAGAAATTTTCTAAACAAACCCATTCACATTTTTTTTTTAAAAGACCCCCTTGAGTTTTTTTTTTTACAAAAATCGACCCATTTTATTTAATCCGGTTCCTAAATAGTCGGGGTTGCCAACCCCGACTATTTAGTGCATAGAATGTTAGGATTTAGGGTTGTAATTGGGGTTTAGCAACCTCCTAAATAGTCGGGGTTGGCAACCCCACCCCGACTATTTAGGAACCGAATTAAAAAAAATCGACCCACTTTCTCACCACGATGCTGACGTAGCAAGAAAGTCAGACGATTTTTGTAAAAAAAAACTGAAGGGGTCGATTTTTTTAAAAAAAAAAAGTTGAATGGGTTTATTTAGAAAATTTCTTTTAAATTTAAATATTCTGACACATGTATGTTCCCGCTGATAGAATTTGAGATCAGACATATTGATAGCACACAACCATGCATCAGTGTGAAATTATCTGCGTTTGCTTTTCCGCTTGTGTGTAAGGCACTAAGGCACCAAAGTTCAACGGTAGCATCCAATGGATTTGTTGCTTCCTTGTGAATATACAGCTTAAAAATGTTGCTCAACACAATAAAATAAAGGTTTCTAAGGACGCTTTGCCCCAAACACCTAGCGATCGCAAAAAGGAACGGCATTTCTACAATAGAACAAATGAGGAACATTGATGTCAGTCAGTAAGGGACCAAATCACATCCTTACATTGACATCATGGGCATTTTAAATCAGGCCATGACTGTTGTAGCTCACCCAGTTGGATGACCAGTATGTATTCTGGTTAGTGAAAACGAACTTCTAACTGATGATAAGGGAACAATCTGTGTATCTTGGAACCTTTGACAGTATAACCAACATATACTAATGGTACACCCAATACAGAAATGATGAAGGAATACCTTTAAGTTTCATATCCACCTCCTTGTCGCTCATGCCATCCATGCGGCCATCTTTCCTCCTTCCAGTATTTATGTTATGAATAATCACTGTTGGTGGCCATACAATGAGATCTTCCTTATTTGCTGCAGCCTCGTCAGCAGATAATAATTGATATGCCTTGGAGGTCTCAGGTGCCTTTGCATAATTCCAGCCCATAAGAACACATAAAGCCTTGTGCAACCCAAGATGGTCTACTCGGAGCTCAGACATCTCTGAGGTATATGCATGCATGATGAGGTCATGCACTCCGGAAAAAGATTTAGATGTCCTGTAATTTCGAACGTTGAGTAACTTAATAACAGGAAAGAGAACTTTCTAATTGAACAAAAAAATGAACCAGAGACTCGCATGACAACAGAAAATAAAGCATGTCCCCATATTTATTGATTAAAAGAAATGTTGTGATCCGATCACCTATTCCAGACCATAACTCCTAGTCTATATGACATCAAAGACTGCTGGAACATAAACAATGGATTTGGAGAAATTTTTAACAGATACACATATTACCCTCATTTATATGATACAAATATAAGAAGGTGATTTTCACAGTTTGTAACCTGATCAATGGAGAACATCCAGCTGAAAGTGTCCTGGTTATTTCATTACTACACAGATATATTGCTTGAGAGTGGATGCTTAATACAGGATGTGAGATTCAGACTTCTAAAACAACCAATTGAGTAGAATCCGATAAGGTAGCAACATTAACTATATACTTAAATTGGGCTTGGAAGGAAAATGATGGAGATAGGTGGCTTCAAACTGAAATAATAACCTCTGTCTCCACCATTGTCCTATCAAAATGGGTTCATGGTAGCAGGTAAAATACCCAGGAAGCTTCATAAAAGAATAACAAAGCTTTAAGACTAGCTGTTAAGTGTTAACTGACAGTAAACCATTGCTAGTGGTGTCAAATTTCTACCAAAGGCAAAAATACATAACTGCAATCTCAGAGTCTCTACCACCAGAAACTGATAGGCTTAAAATTTTCCCTATGTAACTTTAATACCACAACAAACAAACAAGCACCGGCCTGCATTCCTCTTAGAAAGAGACCAAATAAAGAGGAAAGTCGATAGAATGTGCTGTAGGAAATCACAGCAGCCTATGAGACAAGAAGTGGAGAATCTAATTAGAATCAAATCCACCATTCATTTTTACCATAACGTCTAAAATTTTCTATTATTCAGTTCAGTGCATACAGGCTGTTGAAGCCTTGAAGGAGTATAGCCAATTAAATTCATGAAAGAAACAATAAGCTATAAACCACAAAAGCACTAACACATTAAATCCGTATGGCAAATAAATAACTTGTTAAAGAGAGGAATAATTTCTGACCTGCACATAACAGGATCTTTGTACACTGAGCTCCACTTTTTTATTACAGAAATGTATAGATACAAAGCCATACCAGAGAAACAGAATCCCCAGCATTCCTCTTATCATAGATCATACATATGGTTAATTGGTTATCAAAATCTCATTCTTTCCCCTGGCAAACCAGGCCAAATAAACACTATGGTAACTAAATATTGGTACTCAAGCAGCAAGCATCATATATGGGGCTGTTCTACATAGAGGACTCCGACTTGCTTTTTAAAACCATCAATGAGTCACATCTTCGTTATTTAGTGCATCAGACTTTTTTTTCATTTTCAATATTTTTCTTTTATTACCAGTTTGTTATATTTTAGGTTACCCGGATACTTCATTTAGGCTCCTGTATCCATGTCCGTGTCTCACACTCCTCGGACACTTCTTGAATATATACATACATTTATTCATATGTCTACTCAATTATATAATGCATGTTTAGTTTAAAACACTTGTGATAACACTTCTTGGATGTATATTTTATACTTCACTTCAAACTTCCGCAGCTCATTGGACTTGGGTCGGGTTCGGTTAAGCTCATACCCAGTTCATAATTATGATTTAAAGGGTCGTTAGGGTATCTAGTTTAAAAACAAAAAGTTTTTCAACTTATAATCTACTCAAATAAAAGAAACATAAAAACGTTATAGGGATTTTAGTTCTCATAACATGTAAATGAAGAAACAGTTTTAATTTCATATAAATTATTAATTTCAATATGTATATATAGCCATCTCCCTGTATCTTATGTTTTACAAATTTTGTTGTGTCCCTTATCCACATCCGTGTCCATATCCGCACCTTGCAACATAGGTTCTACTGTATTTCAATTTTGTTGATGAGTTAGACTGATATTAGCCCATTAGGCATAGTTGTTAAGATTTAATTCGAATCACTCTAGATGAGTTAAAAGGTATTTTTGGTCTCCACGTTGTGCTTCATGACAAGCAAACCCTATCTTTCGTCTCTCGGGTTTTTTTTTTGTTGGGGGGGGGGGGGTTTGGAATGAGAGGATTTTTATTTAGAAAATTTGTTATGTTTAGAAAGTTATTTAGTTCCTTACCTTATGTAGTTAGGATTTGGATTAGTCTTCTACTTTAAATAAAGGCAAAGTGGAGAGGTAAATCAACTGTCTAATCTCTTAAATTTCTCACCCAACAGGAATAATGAACTTAAGTAACTAGGTTGATGGAAAGGAAAAGGATCAGTCACAAAGGGAAAAGAGTGATAAACAAATCAACGAGGAATCTGTGTGGGGATTTTAAGAACTGGAATTTGTATGTTTCCAGCCGCATCACCGTGTAGAGCTAGCTCTAGGTGAAAGTTTTTTTTTTAAGGGTGGGAAGGGGATCCAGTGGAATACAATTGATCTTTTGAGAAGGAGCATCGAAAGTTTAAGGTGCTACAGTGAACTAGAACTTAATAAATCCTCCATAGCAAATCTGAACCAAATACCTGCAGAGGAATGAACCTTCATTTTGTGTTCATGTAAGAGAGTAAAAGTCATATAAGTAAAAACCTGTCATGGTAGGTGAGGTTTTGGCATGTGAAATGTCACAGTATGTGAGTTTTTTGTATTTGAAGATAAAAATATATATCTGTAAACCTGCCTTGAATATCCAAGACCGAGTTAAAGTTCTTCTACAAAGATCTATAGTAGACTTACTTCTTGCTAGAACACCTGATAATACATTCTAAAAGTCACAGAAAACTGTATGTGATCTTCAAAAAAATTGAAAGGATACCTGCAAAAATAATAGACCAAGCATTTTGGAAGAACTATGTATACTACATATAAAAGAGGATTGGGGTGTTAAAACTTTTGATTACCCTTTTTATCGCTCTCAAATTTGATAATTTTAACTTTACTTTAATTAATTTATTTAATTAATTTATTTATTTAATCTATTATCTCTTCACATGCCTATTAATACAATAATAGTTACTAAGCCAAGTGGGGCTCCAAGAGTCTAACTTCACTATCAAAACTCTAAACTTAATTTACCATACCTTTACTTATCCAATTAATGACCAAATAATGCAGAATCAAACTTAACCATGCACCTTTAACATCCAACCTTTTCACGGAAAGCATGTCTCCTTCCAATTTCTACTCTTTATTAAACAAAACTTTATTTCACTTTCTTCATGCCTCATTTCTTAGTTGTCAATAATTACACAGATATTAATATAGAAATGCTACACTTATTCATCTTGGTAATACCATTATAAGTTAGTATCAAAACCTTACCAAATTTTCTCCAATTTGCATTATTGATCGATTCAAAGCCTTGGTTGAGATGGTGAATAGATCGTTCAAGTGTATTAAGAATTGCTTTTGGAGTTGACATTTAATTCGAAGTCGATTATATCAGATCTCACAATTATTTCTGGTGAGCAAAGGTAATTTGGGGACAGGATCGTTGATGCTATTTGTGGGAGGATACTTAACGTGGGCGGTTGAATTGTTGAGTTTTGTTTTGAACCCAAAGAGTTCTATTTAATTGTGAACGTACAGTAAAAAAAAAAATTTTTTTTTGGTTGCATTGTATTGTAATCAACCTAAATGAAGTTATCAAGATTCTAACCTTCAAGAAAAGGGTTAATTCTTTTTTGGGAGTATGTTAACTAAAATTGGTTTTAAATGAGAGGTATTGAGTTATATTGTATTTTAGGGTGTGATTCTGTTTGGAACACTAAGAGTTCCACTGGAATATTAAAAGTTTTCGTTAGTAGTTAAGAATTTATAGGAATTTTTTTCTTTGTTGCATTGTATTAAAATGAATGCAAACGAAGTGATGAGAGTTTAACTTTTCAGGCAAGAGTGAAATTTTATGTTCATTTTTTCTTATAAGGATTATCAAAGTAACAATATCATAATCATATTTCATCTTCATATTCCTCCTTCTACCCCTTCTTCATAGACCAATTCAACCATCTGTCTGTTTTACAATAATGAGATAAGGATTAATTTCAGCCATTGTGAAGGAAAATTTATCCATAAATTAGAAAGGTGAATGACAGATGTAACTCTTATGTTCCTATCTATAGAAGCATGTTGACTTAATTTAGCATAAATAAGGTTAGATTGTATGCAGTAGCGGATCTAGAGAATTTTTCTTAGGGGCATAAAACAAGTATCTATTTACCTAAAAATAAAAATATAATATTACAAAACTATATTGCCCGATGTGAATGTACTCAGTACGCTTTCAATGAGCTTATTCAATTTGCTACTAATTTATTTAGTGTTTCGAGATAGGTTGGGTTGAAATTTTTTAAATTTTATGGGGTGAGGGGGAGGGGTGGGAGAATTGTAAACCTTATAAGTAGGGGTGCAAACTGGTCCGGATTTATCCGGACCGACCGCAACCGTATCCGTTTGGAAAGCGGATATGGTAAGAAAAAAATAAAACCGGTCGGATATAGTTTCGAAAACGGTTACGGTTTAGAGTTTTTATCCGGATACGGTTATCGGGTCGAAATTTCGGATACGGTCCGGATATCCGGATATTTGAAATGGGCAATATATATATATCATTGGTTTATAAATTATAACACATATTGGGTTGGGTCAAACTCAAAATCCACAACCCGACCCAATTAAAACTGGTTTATAAATTATAACACATATTGGGTTGGGTCAAACTCAAAATCCACAACCCGACCCAATTAAAACTCAAAAAACCTCCCTAATTCCCAAACCCTAAGCAGCTAAGCCCCTCTGCTCAAAATCTCAACCCGATCCTCCGATAAACCCGATCTCCGCCTCCGATCCTCCGCGTCGGGCTCCGCCTCCTCCTCCGCGTCGAGATCTGCCTCCCGCTCCTCCTCCGCGTCGAGCTTCGCCTCCTCCGCCGCGTCGAGATCTACCTCCGGTTAGGGTTTTTCCCCCTTCGATCGCTTCTTTAACTCTTTTAGGGTTTCTATATTTGGGTTTTGCGCGAATTTTTGGATCTCTGCCGTGATGGACGCATCCTAGTGGCTCTCTCTTTCTCTAGGGTTTGGATTGATTATGATGGCCTGTTGAGGGGCCGCCGCCTGATTTGCTTCGGGTTCGGCTATGAATTCGTAGACCCAATTGAACCCTAATTTTGTCGATTGATTTTTGGACCCAGTTGGGGATTCTTCCGAAAACTTTCGCAGGGTTTCGTAAAGACTTAGGCAGAAGTTGTTGGAGTTTGTTCCCCCCCCCCCTTTCTTGATCTTGAAATCTTCTCGGGTTCCGGGTTTAGAAGTTGTTGGAGTTTGTTCCCCCCCCCCCTTTCTTGATCTTGAAATCTTCTCGGGTTCCGGGTTTTTCTATTTGTACAGAATTAGTGGGCATTGAGTTATTTACAATGGAGAGGAGTAGATTTGAGGCAGTTCTTTAAGTGGGGTTTCTCTTCTTTTTGTTGAATGGATGATGCTTTTCTGTGCTTGTTATGGATCGAGGTGAGCCGACTTTAGCTCCACAGTGGTTGAAAGCAGCGGGGTCTTCTTCCCATTCAGGTATAATTGCCTACTTTTTCTACTTAATTGTTCTGCTCTTGTTTCACTGATTAGTGTATGTATTGATAGCTTTTGGTGATAGTATCAATATGTTGTATTGAAAACATGCATGTAGTTTACTATTTTAGCGTTTATCCTCCATATTCGATATGTTTGCTTGGATTCACTGAAGCACATAAATTATGGGATCATTGTGAATTATTCTTATGTCGCCTTTTTTGGTTAATTATTAATCAACATTTAATAATTGAAGTTGTCTCGTGCATTAAATTATGGTACATCGGTTACATGCATATAGTTTGTTATTTTTAGTGTCTCGCACGCATTTTCTATATGTTTACTTTGATCACTGAAGAACATGACGAGGAGCTCATTGTGAATTATCCTTATATCTTGCTAATCAACGTAACAATGTGCAAGTTGTCTTGTATATTACATTTTCTAGTTCTTATGTTGTTGTTTTTTTATTTGATGTTAATCTTGATCACAGATGAACATAATACCGGGTCTTTATCAAGAAACAGACTGTCAGTGAGTGTTTGCGATTATGACTTATTGCGTGCTTTTTTGTCACTAACATTGTGACTTTATTGCCATGAGAATGACACAGGCTCTATGAATCAAAGAGAGAATGACTTCATATGGACATCAAATGATTCATAAGTTGTAGTTTGTGAGGTCAGTTGTAGTTGTTGATTATCACATTTTAGTTATGGTATTTAATATTTTTTATTTTTTGTTTAGGGCCTACTATGGTGTTATGAGGTTTGTCATGCTAAATAGCAACAAAGTCTTGAGGTAACTTGTCTTACTTGTCTTACTTTGCGAGTTATTTAAATCATATGTATTTTTTGTCAAATTACATTCATATATATTTCCCAAATATCCGATTAGTATCCGTATCGAAACCGTATCCGAACCTCTAATATCCGAATCATATATGTTTCCGTTTAATGCGGATATGGTAATGCTTTTTTCTTACCAATGAATATCCGAACCGTATCCGTATCCGTTTTCAAAAAGTGGTTATGGTTATGGTAAGGGTCATATCTGAACCGTATCCGAACCGAATGCACCCATACTTATAAGGGGTTACATGTAATTTTGTATAGTCTTATACTACTACCACATGCAATTACACATAAAGATCAATGAACTACAGAAATATCATCAATCATCATTAATAGAAAACTATATCAAAATAAAGGTTTCACATGATTTTTATCTTGCATGCATTACATTTCAAACTGTTTGATTGATATACAAATAACAGATATATTCTACTTTTTGTTTCATGCTCCTAAATTGTGAACGATTATAACACATTGAATTCTAAATATATCAAGGCAATAGTTTACGTTCAAATAGTTTATTTGCTAGCTATAATTTAGTGTAAGTTGATTTTCACAATAGATTATAGAATTCATGCAAAAAAATTCCATAAAACAAAAACATCAATGTGAATTTAAGCTTATGCCATTTATAACTATTTTACAATTCATTGTAGGAAAACAATATTGTGGAATAGCATTATATTTTGATTCGATTATGAATAAAATGCTATAAATTATGAATAAAATAATGCAAATTATCCAAAATTAACATATATTAAGATGGAGATTAGCTCAATTTTATTATGATTAATTTTGTTATAAATATATAAGTTGGAGCTTTTTTCATATATCTCATAGCATAAAACAAGTTGTCCATGTGCAACGCACGTGCACCATACTAGTAGTATAAAATTAAAGTTTATTAATGGTAAAAACATATGGGTTGAGTGACAAATGTTATCTGCTTACTTGGTAAGTACTAAAGCATTCAAAAAGAGGCAAGTTGGTGGAATGTTATCCAATGATATTGATGCCAATGGTGAAAATAGGACAAAGTTCAACGTGAAAATATGTCTAAGAAGGAAAGCATTAGGCTACATATGGAGTTTGTATTACCAGAAAAGGATGGTACATAGGCAGTGCAATGTATGGCATGGTGGAAAACAACCTGAAGTGGAGATTAATGCTGATCAAAAAGTGATATGCCATCACGAGTTCTGCTCGCTTGGCCTCATAACAACCCTCCAGAAAGGAAGGTATTTGCATATTGCTGAAGCAAAAAATAGTAAACTTTTAATGAATTTGGGGATCCGAGTTATATTAGCATCCAGCCGGTCAAATAAACAAACAATCATGCAGTTCCAAACAAAGTTTCTTCTGAGGGCTTCCCTGGTGGAAGAGTTTACAATCATCTAACGAAATTTCTCCTATTTAGTCCATTTACCAACAGACTTACCATTTAGTCATTTGCAAAATAAGGCCACACACTCTGTGAATAAGTTAGTATAGAAAACAGACATAAGATAAATACATCCAATGAGACAAAAATAAGTACAGCGATACAAAGAAATTCACTGCGTATCATACCTTCCACAGATGATGCACCTCAAAGACACACTCTTACCATCCTCCAAGTACTTCATCCTTTCCGTCAAGCTCTCATTAATCAACTTTGAACACTTCAAGAATGCTTCTTGTATATCACCCCCCTCAACCTCTGCTCTCCTTGACTCCCTCAAAGAAAATCCAACCCTATCATTGGTGGTAGAGTTAAAATATCTCCTCGCACTTTCTCTATACCCATCATACTCTTCGGAAGCCCGCAAATTGTCTTCACGCTCTACGTCAGGGTTTCCGTATCTCTTCACGCTCTCTCTACACCGATCATACTCCCGCAAAGCTTGCGCCCTTCCTAAAGAGTTCAAACCATCTTCAATTTCTTCTCTCTTCAACTCCCTCCAAGAAAATTCAATCCTATCATCTGTGTTAGGGTTTCCATATCTCCTCACACTCTCTCTATACCGATCAAACTCTTCCAAACCCCGCACACCATCTTCACCCTCCACATTAGGGTTTCCATATCTCCTCACGCTCTCTCTGCACCAGTCAAACTTCCCCAAATCCCGTGCCTTTCTCAAATCGCACAACCCATCTTCGCCCCCGGCATTAGGGTTTCCGTATCTCCTAACGCTCTCTCTGAGCCGAGCGTACTCGTCTCCACCGCCAACCTTCCTCTTCGCCGGCGGCGGCGGGGCCCCCTGCTCGTCGAGCCCGAGGTAGGACCAGTAGTCCTCGTCCTCCCCTGTGGGGCCCACGGGGTGGTCGGAGGGCAGGGCGTAGTAGTAGGTGACGCTGCCGTCGAGGAGGACGAAGGGGCGGCGCTCTGAGCCGTTCGACGTCGCCGGAGAAAGCAGAGAGGAGGAGAGAGGGGCGCGGCGGGATCGCTGGATTTCGATGGGGCTGAGGGTTTGGGACTGGACTTGGGGCCTAGGTTTTCGGGAGGTCGTCGGCCTTTTGGCGGGCTGATGAGGAGGAGGGAGGAGATTTTTCTGGTGGATCTTGGACTCATGAGTATCGGATTTGGGGTTTCGGGGTGGGCAGCTAGAATGTAGGCGATGTTGGGAGGGAGGCGCTTTAATATTTGCGTTTTGAGCATCGACTGCTTTTTTGGGCTAAACTCAATCACAGACCGCTATTTGGTTTTTAGCGTAAATTATCAAATTGGTATATTCAGCGTCACGTATAAAGCTATGTTTATTGCTTCCGGCGACATTAATTAAGGTATAAAAGTGTTCACATCTGGCCCTTAAGGCTTGCCGGCGATGAGATCTGAATGCTAAATCAAAAAAAATAATATATAATCCTCAAATCTTTCATATTTATAAATTTATTATCCGGAAATCTTAATTTTGAAAAGAAAAATAAAACCTCCCCACCCCCTGCACACAACTACAAAGCATCCCTAGATATGCAGCGAGATGTTTGGTCAAGCGAACGGAGCATTCATGAGGCTGCGGATTTATCAGCCAAAAAATACAATGTGCCCAATTTACAAATGCATGTTTTTATCAGCTGCCACGTAGGCAGCACGCAGCTACAAACGGGCACGAACGGTCATATACTGAAAAGCAAATTAAACTTGTTTTCCAGAAAAAGAGGTGACAGCGACAGCACAGTTTTATTAAGATTCATAGAAGTTCCAAAAAGTAACACCAACTATCAATTTAATAATGAGTAAGCTAAATTTCAGGAAATGAGAATTCACAAAAACTTTATCATCAGAAGATTATTTCTAGTTCTAGAGAGGTCAATCCCCGTACGTCAAGCTTCAACCTCGAACAAGCTAAAGAGGAAGGTGAAGAGGGGAGCAGAGATAGGGGAGGAGGTGGTGGAAGAGGGAGAGGAAGTAGGAGGGTGAGAAGATGAGGTGGGGGAGGGGGCGATGGGGGGAGAGGAGGAGAGGTGTTTTTTATTTTTATTTTTTTTTTTGGTTTAATCGTGATTTTGGGTGTAAATATGAGAGGTCCAAAGGGTGTATATAAAAAAACCTTTATTAGGGTATCAAATCTCGTTGTCGGCGGCTGATAAGGCCTCAGTAGCAAAGTATAGACGGTTAAAGCTTATTTTTTGGGTTTTTGGGTTTTTTATTTCTAGGCCTATTTGTTTAGTCATCTTTACCTCTAAGCCCAATAACTATTCTTTGTATTCTTAAACCCAAGTTTCTTTTTGTTTTTGCCTTTAAACCCAATTTCTAAAATACTGTATATACAACACTGGTATTCATACCCAAACATGATAAAAACCCTAAAATACCCTTCAATACCCCCACTTAAACCAGACCCCCTCTCTCTCTCTCCTCATTTTCCTTCTTCCTCAGGTCTTCGTCTTCCTCCTTCCTCAAGGCTTTGTCTTCCTCCTCCGATCCCACCTCTCATGCCACCTCCAAGAAATCGAAGAAGAAAGGAAGAAAGGCTCATGATTTTAGTGCTTGATGTCTTGAAAAGGCCCACGACGGATCTCGAGGCAGCCGGACACACCTCCACCCTCTCCAACGAGACACTACAATTCTTCAACGATCAACAAGATGCTTGATGATTTTGGCTTCGGGATCTCTTTCGATGACGAGGAGGAGTGATTTCGTGTGAAATCTCATTTCTATATACTCGATTAGGGTTAGGGTCGGGGTCGGGGTTGGGGGGTTAGGGTTAGTTCATTGATGTTCTTTTGTGCTATCCCTTTTTGTTGAACTAAATCTAATTGTAGAATTGGTTTTATCAATTTATGAATGTATCGTTTCTGTTGAACTAAATCTAATTTGTACACAATAGATTTGCAAAGCAAGAGGTGTGAAATCTGGAGAATCTGGAATTTTGTACCTGTAAATTTTGCTTATAAAGAGTTGGAGAGTATGGAGCTTGCTTTGAAGATTGTGAAAGAGAAATTGCTGGGTAGAGTTAATGGAGTCAGTTATGCTATATGTACATTTTGAAGATTTGTGCAATTTTGAAGATTTGTAACATTTTGTAAAGTCTGGAGCTTGCCTTGAATATAATATCAGTTATATTATGTACATTTTGAAGATTTGTAACACTTTTGAAAGCCTGGAGCTTGCCTTGAATATATGATCAGTTATGCTATGTTTTTTGTGAAGATTTGTAACATTTTAAAAAGTCTAGAGCTTGCCTTGAATATATGATTAGTTATGCTAAGTATATTTTGAAGATTTGTGTAATTTTGGAGTTTGATTTGTAACATATTGTTTCAGATTGTAAGTTTTTGAAAGTAGATAATGAAAGTGTTGTTAGTGCAATATCGTTATTGTTTGTGCAATTTTGGAGTTTGTAAGACTGGAATTTTGTGCAATTTTGTGAGTGCTATTTTGTGGAATTTTGTGTAATTTTATGAGTGTTATTTTGTTCTTGTGCAATTTTGTGAGTGCAACCAAGTGTGATAAACTGCAGATCTCTTTGATTGTAAGTGTAGCGTGATAAATTCAAAGTGTAGCGTGATAACCTGTAAGTGTAGCGTGGTAGACTGTAAGTGTAGCGTGATAGACTGAAATTGTAGCGTGGTAGACTGTAAGTGTAGCATGGTAGACTGTACAGGATAACACGCTACACTTACAGGATAACCCGCTACACTTACAGGATAACCCGCTACACTTACAGGATAACCCGCTACACTTACAGGATAACCCGCTACACTTACAGGATAACCCGCTACACTTACAGCATAACACGCTACACTTACAGGATAACACGCTACACTTACAGGATAACCCGCTACACTTACAGCATAACACACTTCACTTACAGGATAACACGCTATACTTACAGCATAACCCGCTACACTTACAGGATAACACGCTACACTTACAGGATAACCCGCTACACTTACAGCATAACACACTTCACTTACAGGATAACACGCTATACTTACAGCATAACCCGCTACACTTACAGGATAACACGCTACACTTACAGCATAACACGCTACACTTACAGTCTAACACGCTACACTTACAGGATAACCCGCTACACTTACAGCATAACACGCTACACTTACAGGATAACACGCTACACTTACAGGATAACACGCTACACTTACAGGATAACACGCTACACTTACAGCATAACACGCTACACTTACAGGATAACACGCTACACTTACAGCATAACCCGCTACACTTACAGGATAACACGCTACACTTACAGCATAACAAGCTACACTTACAGGTGCAATTTTGAAGATTTGTAACATTTTGTAAAGTCTGGAGCTTGCCTTGAATATAATATCAGTTATATTATGTACATTTTGAAGATTTGTAACATTTTTGAAAGCCTGGAGCTTGCCTTGAATATATGATCAGTTATGCTATGTTTTTTGTGAAGATTTGTAACATTTTAAAAAGTCTAGAGCTTGCCTTGAATATATGATTAGTTATGCTAAGTATATTTTGAAGATTTGTGTAATTTTGGAGTTTGATTTGTAACATATTGTTTCAGATTGTAAGTTTTTGAAAGTAGATAATGAAAGTGTTGTTAGTGCAATATCGTTATTGTTTGTGCAATTTTGGAGTTTGTAAGACTGGAATTTTGTGCAATTTTGTGAGTGCTATTTTGTGGAATTTTGTGTAATTTTATGAGTGTTATTTTGTTCTTGTGCAATTTTGTGAGTGCAACCAAGTGTGATAAACTGCAGATCTCTTTGATTGTAAGTGTAGCGTGATAAATTCAAAGTGTAGCGTGATAACCTGTAAGTGTAGCGTGGTAGACTGTAAGTGTAGCGTGATAGACTAAAATTGTAGCGTGGTAGACTGTAAGTGTAGCGTGGTAGACTGTAAGTGTAGCATGGTAGACTGTACAGGATAACACGCTACACTTACAGGATAACCCGCTACACTTACAGGATAACCCGCTACACTTACAGCATAACACGCTACACTTACAGTCTAACACGCTACACTTACAGGATAACACGCTACACTTACAGGATAACCCGCTACACTTACAGTCTAACCCGCTACACTTACAGCATAACACGCTACACTTACGGTCTAACCTGCTACACTTACAGGCTAACAAGCTACACTTACAGCATAACACGCTACACTTACAGTCTAACACGCTACACTTACAGTTTAACACGCTACACTTATAGGATAACCCGTTACACTTACAGCATAACACGCTACACTTACAGGATAACACGCTACACTTACAGGATAATCTGCTACACTTACAGCATAACACGCTACACTTACAGTCTAACACGCTACACTTACAGAATAACCCGCTACACTTACAGAATAACCCGCTACACTTACAGAATAACCCGCTACACTTACAGAATAACCCGCTACACTTACAGAATAACCCGCTACACTTACAGAATAACCCGCTACACTTACAGAATAACCCGCTACACTTACAGAATAACCCGCTACACTTACAGAATAACCCGCTACACTTACAGAATAACCCGCTACACTTACAGAATAACCCGCTACACTTACAGAATAACCCGCTACACTTACAGAATAACCCGCTACACTTACAGGATAACACGCTACACTTACAGCATAACCCGCTACACTTACAGCATAACCCGCTACACTTACAAGCGTGTTATGCTGTAAGTGTAGCGTGTTATCCTGTAAGTGTAGCGTGTTATCCTGTAAGTGTAGCGTGTTATCCTGTAAGTGTAGCGCATTTACAGATAAGTGTAGCGTGTTATGCTGTAAGTGTAGCGTGTTATCCTGTAAGTGTAGCGTGTTATGCTGTAAGTGTAGCGTGTTATCCTGTAAGTGTAGCGGGTTATGCTGTAAGTGTAGCGTGTTATCCTGTAAGTATAGCGTGTTATGCTGTAAGTGTAACGGGTTATCCTGTAAGTGTAGCGTGTTAGACTATAAGTGTAGCGTGTTATCCTGTAAGTGTAGCGGGTTATTCTGTAAGTGTAGCGTGTTAGACTGTAAGTGTAGCGTGTTATGCTGTAAGTGTAACGTGTTAGACTGTAAGTGTAGCGTGTTATGCTGTAAGTGTAGCGTGTTATGCTGTAAGTGTAGCGTGTTATGCTGTAAGTGTAGCGGGTTAGACTGTAAGTGTAGCGGGTTATCCTGTAAGTGTAGCGGGTTATCCTGTAAGTGTAGCGGGTTATCCTGTAAGTGTAGCGTGTTATCCTGTACAGTCTACCATGCTACACTTACAGTCTACCACGCTACAATTTCAGTCTATCACGCTACACTTACAGTCTACCACGCTACACTTACAGGTTATCACGCTACACTTTGAATTTATCACGCTACACTTACAATCAAAGAGATCTGCAGTTTATCACACTTGGTTGCACTCACAAAATTGCACAAGAACAAAATAACACTCATAAAATTACACAAAATTCCACAAAATAGCACTCACAAAATTGCACAAAATTCCAGTCTTACAAACTCCAAAATTGCACAAACAATAACGATATTGCACTAACAACACTTTCATTATCTACTTTCAAAAACTTACAATCTGAAACAATATGTTACAAATCAAACTCCAAAATTACACAAATCTTCAAAATATACTTAGCATAACTAATCATATATTCAAGGCAAGCTCTAGACTTTTTAAAATGTTACAAATCTTCACAAAAAACATAGCATAACTGATCATATATTCAAGGCAAGCTCCAGGCTTTCAAAAATGTTACAAATCTTCAAAATGTACATAATATAACTGATATTATATTCAAGGCAAGCTCCAGACTTTACAAAATGTTACAAATCTTCAAAATTGCACAAATCTTCAAAATGTACATATAGCATAACTGACTCCATTAACTCTACCCAGCAATTTCTCTTTCACAATCTTCAAAGCAAGCTCCATACTCTCCAACTCTTTATAAGCAAAATTTACAGGTACAAAATTCCAGATTCTCCAGATTTCACACCTCTTGCTTTGCAAATCTATTGTGTACAAATTAGATTTAGTTCAACAGAAACGATACATTCATAAATTGATAAAACCAATTCTACAATTAGATTTAGTTCAACAAAAAGGGATAGCACAAAAGAACATCAATGAACTAACCCTAACCCCCCAACCCCGACCCTGACCCTAACCCTAATCGAGTATATAGAAATGAGATTTCACACGAAATCACTCCTCCTCGTCATCGAAAGAGATCCCGAAGCCAAAATCATCAAGCATCTTGTTGATCGTTGAAGAATTGTAGTGTCTCGTTGGAGAGGGTGGAGGTGTGTCCGGCTGCCTCGAGATCCGTCGTGGGCCTTTTCAAGACATCAAGCACTAAAATCATGGGCCTTTCTTCCTTTCTTCTTCGATTTCTTGGAGGGGGCATGAGAGGTGGGATCGGAGGAGGAAGACAAAGCCTTGAGGAAGGAGGAAGACGAAGACGTGAGGAAGAAGGAAAATGAGGAGAGAGAGAGAGAGGGGGTCTGGTTTAAGTGGGGGTATTGAAGGGCATT